CAAAATACATCTGCTAACTATTATCAGATTTTATAAAATCGGTTCAAATAATCATTACAGTGAAACAACTGATCTCGAAATCGATACTTAATAATCGAATAAACCATCAAAAACCATCATAAAAAACCAAAAGTGAACCGAGAACAGTAAGCTGCCACCACCATGATTGGCGAGCGGGTATTTTGCTAGGTCACGCTAAAGCCAAAGGGATGAGAAAAGTGGTATAAATGAGGAAAAGAGGAAGAGAGGAAGAGAAGGAGAGAGGGAAACGAGAGAAAGAGAATAGCTGGGAAAAAGGATGAGGATGGAGGAGAGTCGGGGCTCTCGTTAATAACCGGACTCGACTTGATTATGGTCGCCACCAGCAGCGCGGCGCATCGGCCGCTTTAGCCTCGGCACGGCGGTCGCATCGAACGAGGTAGTCGCTAATGGGCCGGATATGGATGAAAAATTATCTCGGCTTAATGCGCGCGCGAGCGTGAACGCGAACGCGAGCGCGAGCGCGAGCGCACGGGACCGTTTTTCGTTATTACGCGAGCTCTGCCGCTTTAAGGCGAGCTCTGCCGGTGAACCAACGCGAGATAGATACCCCCCAGGATACCCCCTTTTACTTCGGGCTTCTCTTCCTTCCTCTTTCTACATATTTATCCGTCTCTCCGACTGTCCAAATTCGTTCCATAATTAAGCGCTTGATTATCGGACTAATCGTACTGGGCGTTTCCAACGGAACGGTCGGCACAGTTGATTTCCGATGCCCGGACCGGAATAATTTAATTTATGGCGAGCACTCTTCCCCGCACCGCTCTCACCACGTGCCGTCCCCCGCCTAAATGTTTATAACGCCGACGCTAGTTCGTGCGATAACGTAAACAGAATGATTGATTAACCGCACCGAATCAGTGGTCGCGCGGATGCTCCTTATGCGAAGAGAGCGCGACGGTCACGCGATACTTGGACATTATCGCTACGAAATTCATTCTATCGTTTTAGACAGGCGTCTCGTTTTAATTTAATTTCTATGTAAATTACGTAGACTTTTATGTACATCTAAATTATTTCATATAAAATTGATGGAAAAAAGTGATAACAAAACGTATGCAAGCACTCAAAGTCATTTTTCGCTACGCAAAAAATTTTTACATTATACACGTAACTTATTTAAATAAAAAAATATTACAATTAATAATACAGTGTTTCAAATGTTTCAAAAATTTTCTCTCTTCTCTCACATACGTCGTATATACCAAATATCTTGCGTTTCCGTGTATATATAATTCATTTGACGTAATCAGGAGACAATTTTCTCGAAATCGAATGAGTAAAGTAAGTGCAGCTAAATAAATAAAAATAGATGAAATTTTTTTCTAATAGACAAAATTTACGAGGGAAAGGTAATGTTTCCTTTTTAAAATAACCGATCCGAGCACATTCGAAATTAAAACTTAAACTAATATTCCAACAAAATTGGAGAAAAATCACGAACGTGTCGTGTTAATTGGTTACGAAGAATAAATGTTCCCGCGAGCCTATGGAGACTCTTTGCAAACTATCGAACTCGGGAGAGGTGTTTCGGACCGGCACTCACACGATCTCCCGCGGGAGACACGTGCAGCGAGCAAGATTACACCTGGTAACGCGACTAATCCTTTATAGCTAGTTACACCCAGAAACTTCCGCGCGAGAGTCGCAAAAGTTTTGCGGTAGCAAATAATTCGGCGATAGGTAACTTTTGCAAGTGCTGTACGTGTCGGGCGAACGCTTTTAACGGCACAGAGTTAGCGACGGAGAGAAAGAGAGCGAGAGAGAGAGAGAGAGAGAGAGAGCGCTCATTGCACCCAACCTGAGAAACAAACGTGATTATTTGCGCAGCGCTTCCGATAACCGTGATCGGGCGAATCGTTCGAGCGCGCGACGGAAGTGATCGGCGGAAACACAGCCGGGTTTTTCAAACACCAATCGTGTAAATAACGTCGACTTGTTTTCAATTCATTCGAATGGTTCTCGTATGCAACGTTATATTGCCTTCTAATAAAAGCAGGGGTCGCCAATTACGAGCTATCGAAGTGCAAAGTAAATATAAATGGAAAATAGAAATGACGTTGCACGTGTACGTGAGAGAAAATATGATTATAAAATATTTATACAATCCAACTGAATTATTAATATAAATATGCGATATATAACAAAAAAGAAAATCTTATTAAACCTATGTGAAATAAAAGATAAAATAAGTATTAATCAAATTTCAAACGAATCATCCCAAGTAGATCAAATAGAACGCAAATCATCATGACATCAAAATGGCTCCGAAATGATGTTAAAAAATCACTTTTCAATCAGTAACGATCAGTTTCACTTAACGTCATTTTGATATTATCATGATTTGTTGTTCCGCTTGGGAGAACAACAGAACACGATAACATCCAAATGACGTTAAAACGAATTATGATTGATCAAAAAATGATTTTCAATAATTATTTTGGAGCGATTTTGACGCGTCACAAAACGCGCCATCATGACTATTTGTTCTACTTGAGATTTTTCTGTCATGTCTTTTTCTACTGTTCAAATCGCGAAAACATAAGGTATTACATTTTAGGATAATGATTGTTCAGCGTACAGAGTATTGTATAATTATCTCTTCCGGTGCAATCTGATCCCGTCTTGACGGTATCTTGACGCGAGCCTCCGTCAACCTTCGGAGCGCGGGACGCGATCGGGTTTGGGCCATGATGTCCAGGAGATTACGGGATACTCAATTAGGGGATTCAGTGTCATAGAATTCGAGAGCTTCGGATCAAGAGCTCTTATCGTGCGAGTAACTTTGGATATATCCGCCAATTCCGCTCCGAGTATTTCGGCTGCCGCTATCTACAAGATATGGCTCGCAAACGACTTCGAAAAATGTCGTTATGGCGATATCGACAAGAAAATCGCCCTTTGCTTTAGATGCAATCAACTGCTAATGCGTGCGTTAAACTTTTATGTAATTTCATCGTATGCGGTACGTTCGTTTGATTATTATTTCAGTATAAAACCATAATGATTATTTTACCCAATAAGTTTGCTTTTTATTTAGCAGAAAGTGATTAAATGCAGTGAGAGAAAAGGCAACATTTTTCACCATCTAAAGATTAATTAATTCTTACTTCCGTGTGTGAAATGGAAAGCTTTTACAAAATTAAATTCTTTCAATGCAACAGTACTTTATACATACATACACATATATATATATATATATATATATATATATATATGTGTGTGTGTGTGTGTGTGTGTATATGTATGTATATGCGAATAGCAGTTATTTTTCCGATAATTTAAACAATTATCGTTTCGATGTGAAATTAATTATTTTAAAAATTTGTTCTTTCGCAATGCTTTTGCGTGCAGAATGCACTGCAATATTTGTTTTAATTCGACACGCATAGCGATCTTTAAATCACCTATGCTGCCTATGCGAGCGATAAAATGAGCTTGTGCCGTAATGCTTGATATTGGGAAAAAATTGGGAAACATCTGTTCAAGAAGCGTATGACGCTAGCAAGAGATTAAACCGTCAGAATGGCGATCGCGAGAATTTCGAGCCGATTGGCGAGAGAGTGCTGTGCAAATCCTGACGCAGTCTTATCGATCCGAGAGAAGAGGCGAAATAACGAACGAACGATACGGTGCACAGTTTGTTGCGATTACTCCGGCTCGTGGCTATTTGTTTTCCATAGCGGTGCGGTAGCACCGAAATATCGGAGCCGGTGGCAGCGCAGAAACAATTTCGCGCGGCGCAGGAGTGACGGCTGAAATATCGCGAGGAATGTCATCTATCGTATATCACCCCGGGTATGAGTAATATTCACGTAAAACTCGAGTCCTTACGAGCGACATTCATCGCCCTTCGAAAACGTGCCGACAAGAATTTTTCCTCCTTTCTAGATGACGGATGACGCGGCTCGTCGGCATAATTAACGATATTCGATCAAGCGAACCTAGCTCGAACCTGTGTCAACTTTTAAAGGGCCGCCGAGTTGTATATATATTTGCCGAAAAATGTTTATCCAAGACAAAATTTCTAGTTCGTTGCCTTGAAATTACCACTTCAGATTATAAATGTTAGCTTGAAAGTTATATATGGATAAATGATGATTTTGCGTCTCTTGATAGATATTTTCTTTTAGAGGAGAGAGAGAGAGAGAGAGAGAGAGAGAGAGAGAGAGAGAGAGAGAGAGAATTCTAATTAATTTTAATTAACGTCTACGATCAGAAATGTCTTACAAGCAGCATAAAGTTTTCTGATCCTTTAGGGATTAAGTGAAGTCGAACGACGAGGTAGTGTTATGTGCAAATGAATTGAATTCACTTGTGCTTTAAGTCGCATTTGTCCAACATGAGACGATAAGCCTCGATAAGCTATCAACAACTCCGAGTATCGCGTTCTGACCAGGTTTCCCTCAAGTCAAATCAAAGCTCTCCCCTGCTATCACTACGTGACGGCGAATTATCGTTCTCGAGTATCGCTCTCGAAACTTTCGCGGCACCGTGTTCTAATCCGACGAATCTCGTCACGCGACCTCACCAAGTATGTCACCAGCTGCTTTTCGACCCAGTCTTAAAGCAACTCCTGTCAGGAAAAGCCCGGGGATCGAGACTTGCTGAAAGCTTTCAAACTTCGGATCCGGTAATCGGAGACCATTGGAAATGCGGTATAATTTCGGCGAGTGCAATACAGCAATTTTCGCCAATACAGCAATTATACTGAATATATACGCAAGAAGAAACGAATCTCATCGCTCTGATCGTGACGAATAAATATAGATGTCATCTTTGCGTGTCGACGGCATCGAGGTTTCAGCTTACCGAATTGACCTACGTCCCTTTTACTACAATCGATAGCGTTGTAGATTGAAAAGTGTGCTCGAGGCATATATACATACATTTCTGCTCGCATCCAAGCCATTATTTAAATGGCCGGCCGGCGAAAAAGAGAAGGAAGATTCCTCACTCACCGGTCATCGTAGACGAAACCCGCTTGCAGGGTGTTGCAGTAGAGTGCCGTCGCGACGAGGGCGCAGGCTACGGCGAGGATATCCATGTCACATCGTGCTGTCGAGAAGGCTGGCGGCGACAGCGACGTCGACGGCGGCGGCCTCTTAACTTGTTGCACGTCCGCGGGCCTTCCTCCTGCACCACTACTGCTACCACCAGCAGCACCAGCACCACCGCCACCTCCTCCCGGTTCTTCGCGCGGCGACGGCCGAGACGTCCGCCGGACGATCGAACGACCGCCGATCTGACGTCGCCTGCCTGGATGACGGGTCCCGCGCGGGATGAATGTCGGTGACGCGTCCCCAAATACGATCCAGCAACGAAGCGGCTCCCGGCGGCGCGAACGGACCCGGGTTCTCGATCTCTTCCGGCGCGGGCGGCGCGACCGCGAAATTCGACCGCCTCTTCACTTCGAGGTCTCACATCGGTCGTTCGCTAATTCAACGTTGCAAATTCAGTGGATCAAATGTGTCACCAAGTCAAATACCGCTTGACTTGATCCCGAGACGAGAGGACACGACGAGATCGACAGTCGACTTGCCACTGTGGCAAGAAAGATCACGCAGCTCGTCGAAAATATCGCGATCGAGATCTTAACTCGCGAGTAATTATTGGTTCACGCAATGGTGAATCTCGAGGAGTCGTTCGTCGCAGTCGGCGCTTTCTTTCCGCCGACGGCGACGTCGCTCGCGCCAGAGTCGTTCTAATCATTCACGGATGCACGTTTGATACTCCGTAATTCGAGCACCGCTTCGAGAAGAATCTGTGTTGGGAAGGAAGACTTGGAGGTGAAAGAAAAAGTAGTTGTTGGCAAAGGAAGCGGCGTTGTCGATTCGACGCTGCTACGTTCGTCCTCTCTTCCTTATCGGTCAAGGGACAAGAAATTCGTGTTCCCGCGAGTGGCCTACGAGGAGGATTCAGCGATCGAGCAAGTTCGAGAAGAATACAACGCCGGCGTTTGGCGATCCTCGAGATTGGCGCGCTCGATTCGAGTAGGATAGTAGTAAAACGACGACGAATGGTGTACTCGCGATGGATAGCAGCGCTGTTGACATGGGACGCACTGACGTCAACGACGATGACTGCAACGACGAGATGCGATTGGCACGCGGCGCGACGCATGTTCCGGATGCGGAACGCCAACTGTCGCGCGCCCCCCGAGGACGAGAGCTTTATACGCGGGAGACGGGCATCGATCGGACAGGCGCTTGCGCTCGCCCGCTCTCCTGGTCCTCCTTCTCCACCTCATCCTCTCCTCTCCTCTCCATCCCCCTTTACATCCCTCCCCCCCCCGTCGCTGCCTCCCGCGACCCTTCCTCGTCTCCTCCGCCACCACCTCCGTCGTCCTCATCCTCCCTCGCGCAACGCATCCGCGACCGCTCGCAACGACCACGATCGCGACCGCGGCCAACGGACCGGATTAACCGCAACCCCGGGGACAATGCTGACCGATGGACGTCCTTTTAGAAAATGACACACCGTAAGGGCCGCACCGCGGCCACCGTAAGGGCAGAAATGCAGAATGCACGTGGCATGCGGCGGTGTACCAAGAGGATCCGGCGAATTCGAGGGGACAAATTCGGACTTGAGACGTTTTCATGCGCGCGCCAGAGCAGACCAGAGGTGAGGGACGAACCGTGAGGGAATTGTGTCCGTTCCGTTTTCCATTTTCCGCGAGATCGTCAACGGGGGAAAACGAGGAGTTTGTGTGGTCGCGCGCGAGGAAACGTTTAGCTTGGGAACGTAACCGGGTGCATCCGACGGCGATTGTCGTCTCCCACCTCCACTCCCCCCCCCCCCAAGCGGCGATTAAGCCGTCCACGATGCCGCGGAGGAATAATCGCAGGACAATGCCGATGTCATCGTTCAGAGGAAAGATGAAGAAGTTTATTTTAAGAGCTATTTTTAAAAGGGGAATCAATAATTTCAAGAATATTTAATATAATCGATTTGAGGAATATAAATGGGTGTGTTGTTATCTATAAAATACTTATAAAAAGAATGTCTAATTTAAGACGAACACCTTGCGCTATTTTTTTTTTAAGAAACGTAGATTCTTATTTAAGACACGCGATCTTATTTAAGCCGCTGGTTTTCCAAAGTAGGGCAAGAGTAAAATCCAGAAAGCAAGGAAAGTTAGGTAATAAGATGCACGTTTGATGTTCCTGCTTTAGGAAAATTTTCTAAATTTGAGTTATACGTTACTTTTAAACAAGGCACCTATATAGCTAGATTCCGCGGTATCATACAAGAGGTAAGCCTCGTAATACCACCGTGCAAACTTCCTCTCGCAGTCTTCCTCCCCGCACTAATGCAAAATTTATTCCCGTTGCAACGGTGAATATGAAGGCGTAGGATGGCAGGGCGCGCAATACGCTCGCAAATACGACTCGCGCGTGTAATGCCCCGTTGAGAGTATCGTCACTCCTGGTAGTTTAATCCGCTGGGTGTAACGGCGATTCGTCACTGAGTACCTACGCGTAATTAATCGCCGGGGCCGACGCCGTGAAACGCGCGTGCATTTATCACGCGCATTATGGCACGCGGGCTCTCGTTATTGTGCTAACGCTGGACTTAGATGTTTCTGGGCTCCGCTATTGTATCGCAAACAAGAGTTTGCGCCACCACCCGTAAATGCTTCAATTATTCCGAGCGCGATGCAAAACAAAAGTAATTCGCGCTCCGATGAGCCACGATTAAAGATCCCCCCGCGATACTGCAGGTTACTCCTAATGCGGTAATTAAGCATTTAAACGCTTAACTCACTCCTACGCAAATTACAATGCCGGTTAGTGCCGTGTACAAACGAGGTGAAACGGCCGACAGCAACGCTGTGCTGAGTCGAGAGCGAAGTTACGATAACTACATATGAACACATAATGTCGGCGTCTCTAATTAATTTTATTAACGTATGTTTTTGTACCTGCCAGCTTAATATCTAATATCGCTGTTTGCTGTTTTACCGTTTAACCGTTTTAACTGTTTTATTTACAAAATTAAGATTTATTACTTTATAATAACATTTATGTATGTAATAAAACTGTCGCTCAAACTTGTCGATTTATGACTTGAAATCTAATTCTCTTTAGAGAAAGTAAGAATTAAGGATTGCAATTCATCAGACTCAATAAAGCTCTCGGTCTGTTCACCCAGATAGCAATTCATCTACGATGCCATAGAAATACAAATTAATCGCGCTCGTAACACTCCGCAATTACCGTCCCGGCGCTTAATTCCCCTAAAGCTGATCACATATGGATCCGTCGAGTTGCGGCGAGGGATCGGTCGGGGATGCGAGGTACAATAACGTCGCACCCGAAACGAGGTTGACAGTAAACAATACCGGTCACGAAAAGGGGAGCAAAGTCGATTGCGTGGGGTCCACTTCGAGGGGCAGGAAACTCTCCTACGTTCTACAGTTGTAGAGCACGTTGATGATCCTATTCCCCTTCCTCGACGTAGCACGCGCTACGCCATTTTCCACCGCCTGACAACGACACTTTAGATCAATATCAGTTTGTAAATTTCGACGTTGTACATAGTTGGAAAATTTCTCTTAAATTTAACACGCTTTACATGCAAATTTTTCTGTTAATTTTATATAAGCGGAATGTATTATGCCAAAAAAATTAACACAAAAATGTAACACTAATCCAATGTTGTTAATAAACTGTGGAAACATATTTCTTCAACATTAACACACGTTTATTGTATATATATTTTTTTAGATTATCATATTTCAGTAAATTTAATAACATTACAATGTTAAATTAGCGCACGTTGATTCATAAACTGTGTTATTTTAACGTTAAAAAATGTTAAATATGAATTTAACATAAAATATTTCAATAACATGATTACATTACGTTAAATTAACACTCAAATATTTAATCAAATAGTTATACTCAATTCAGTATCTACTATTTCCCGCTTAATTGTTCCTATTAATTATTATTTTAATATTTTATCAAGATTATTTACATATTTTACTTACTAAATTTTATCGAGTTCCAATTCTAAACGACGCCGTCGACGGTGCCGCAATATCGATCAATAGCATTTATTAATCGGATAATTTCCACGCTAACGCATATCCAAATATCAACGCATATCAAAGCGTCGATACTAGTAGATGTTACATTGGCATTGCCAACTGGCAAGACGGGAAGAGCGATACCCTGTTATTTGTCCCGCTGGCAGATTAAGATAATGAGCTAACACGAAGCCATCAGGCACTGCACCATACCGCGCCGGTTGTTGGTCCGAGTAAGGCGATCTAGGAAGGGTGAGGGTCCGGAGGGTACAGATACAATGACCGGTGACCATGCGATCCCGCCGGACGAGCCGCGGGAGGCTTATGCCGTATGCGGGAGAGAGGCTCGATGTGAGAATTATCGTGCGAACCTATCGTCGAGCATGCGCCAGCAATCATCTCGTTCCATGACAGGATGACGCGTGCACCGTCTGTTGCGAGAAACAACATCTCCATTGATGTGCATGAAAACTGAGCGAAAAAAATGCGATTCAATCCACAAATCGATGGTTATTTTCTTAAAAAAGGATATTCTGTTAATTTTAAGGGTTTAGTTAGGGTTCCTGTTTACCATCACCCCAGAGCTTACGTCATAAGCGAGGAAACACAATAATGAAAATTCTTGCAAATATTACACTTGAATAAAAACATATTTCGCTTCGTATAACGAACAGTTTATAATAGAATAGACTTATAAAATATATCTCACCCTTAGATTTTTTTAGAATGATTTGATTTAAAGTGCATGGATCTCTTTCAAAATATGTTATAATTTAATAAAGAGGACCAGACGCTTTGAATCAAGTTATTCTCACAAAATTCCATATTTCTTACTGTTAAAATAACGCCGTTTACGAATAAATGAACAATCAATTTTTTGTCAAATAACGAAAATAACTTTTGAAAAATTAATTTTATTAAAATTCTTAAAAATAAGACAAATTGAATAATACATCGTATTATAGTAACGAGTATAAATTCTAACAATACTGTGAAATTCTAACAATACTACTCACTAAAACCAGTTTATAACTGAAACGCGACAAAACGATTGAAAACACGAAAAATAGAAAACACAAAAGCGATTTTGTGAAAATCAATGGAGATTTCAAAAAATTATGGTGTATTCTCTATCAAACTTCATCATA